TGGCTGTTCTAGCTATGAAAATCGGCGTAAACATGCCTCTTTGCTAATGTTTCACATCGCGAGGATGTGTGGATGGTCCACTGATGTGATACCCACGGTGAGAAAGCCCCTGTACCAAATCTGTTCAAGGTTTGAACCCTTTTGAACACTTTGCAAAAGTTATGCCAAAACGACAAGCAGGGTGTCGTTTCCGCCTAATTATACCCCTCTGATTTCGATTCTGCCATCCGATATGCATTTCCGGACCTTAGTGACGCTCAGAAAGTGCGCGGAAGGGATTGCACTGCTGGGTTGCCTACCCACCAGGCGCTCGGCATTTCTGTAAATTCGTGTGTTGGCCCAAAAAGACGTCTGAATGGGCTCTACACTTTAATGATCGTTTTGAAATTGCCTAGAGATTGTCTATTGCAAAATTACAGAATAATGCCACTATGTTTAATAGCTCAAATCTCGTTCAAAGTACAAAATATTAGGTTTTTCCACGTTCAAATGCAGGAAAATTGCTTTATGTTATGGGTAGAGAGTTGCAAATACCATCATTCAATGCAGAATCACGCGGACTGAAAGAAAATATACGGGTTTGTGGTGTTGAGAGTGAAACAGTTGTTGCCTGTAAAGAAAAACTGAGAAAAACTATAATATCCCGACTTTTTTCGGTGTTCAAATGTTTGTTTTCGGCGTATTTTTAAAACCAGCAGGTTTATGAAAAAAGTGACTTTTACAAACCATGCAGGGCCTGGCATTCTCTACAAAATTGAATCTAAGAAAATTTCTGTATTTCATAATCTATTCAAACTCCTCGAAGCGGTGCTTGAGTTCAAAGCCCCATGCTGCGCCCCTAAGGGGTGATAGGCAACCGTCGTGACACCCTCTCCACTTCTTCCAGTTGAGGTCACATGTTTACCAATTTTGTTATACTGTACACTCAACTGTTAATCGTTTTAATGTCGGTCAACGGCACACCTCCTTTCGCTCGCCGGCGGCCAGTCTCTCGTCCCCACTCGTCGTGTGCGGCTGCCGGCGGCTGCTCAGGCCGGGCCGCCGCCCGCCGCGCCGCCCGCCGCCTCTAGTCGTCTGCCCCTACCACTTTCGACATGAAAATGTGCGCGTATAGTTTGTTGAGTGCTGTTGTGTTTTCAAAGTAGTTTCAACCACATGCACAAAACGATAGTGAACATGGAAAGGAGTGTTCACCGCGAGCTAGCCATTTTATAAAGTCAGAGGTGGGGGAATGGGTGCACGGAGGGGCAATTGTTTTCGTTTATGTGCATTTTTGTGTGCACGTGCTAACGAAAGTCTTCCTGATCAGGACGCCAAGAGCACATTGCTGTCATGGACGCAGCAGGAGCTAGCTCCATCCGGAATAGTCTCAACCTCAGCCCCGAACAGTCATCGACACCCAATCCGGAGTCATCTCTTCCAGCGGGAGTTCCAGATAAAGTAAGTAAATACACTCATTACATCTAGGATTTTCAGTCGCCCCCACCATCCTTTGGAAGTGTTTGGCCACGCGAAGCGCGTCGCCCCACTCCGGCCGCGGCAAGCGCGGTCGTTCAGAAATGAATCTCCTATGCCCCCCTCCCTCCCGCCCCCTCACGCCCCATGTATATCGCGCTCGCGGTTAACTTTCAAAGCATCTTCTATGTCCCATAATGGTTTTATTACTATCACACTGTAAAAATATGTTAGGAGATTGGCAACTTATTTTGTAATGTAATATTTACAAAATATATTGTACATGGTCATCATCGCACTTTTGCTTGACAATAGATTTCAGGTTGATACGCAAGGCTTGTAAATTTTGAAAATATTTTCTAATCCCTTCTGTCCGGTACAGTACAATATCCGGTGCTCCCTTCAATGACGAAAGGAACCCCCCCTCCCCCTCCCTTCAATGCCTTTGGGTACAACTTAGCGCCTGCAATTGGCGGATAAGCAACCCAAATGCTCCTGTTCATCATGGAATACCCTACTTGTACGGTGCAACGCGTACAGTCCCCAGATGCTGGTTCAAATAGGAACGGCCGGGCATAACAGGGAAGGGTGGGGTTCTCTCTCTGATCGCATGGTGTCGGCTGCGAGCAGTTGGAGCCTGTGGCTGCCCTGCCCCGCGCCGCCCCGCGCCGCCCCGCGCCGCCCCGCGCCCCCTCACGTCGTCCATCATTTATCAAACAAATATCCACAGCATTCATAACAGTTTAAAACTATTAACTAGGGGCCCGTGCGTAGTCAATGTGCACGGGGTAGCTGAGCGAAGTGGGTTTAAGTTTGCCATTGTCTCAGTTGGTTTTTTATTTTACGTTTTTCTGATTTTTTAAAATGATCCTTTTT